CTATTCTATTCTATTCTATTCTATTCTATTCTATTCTATTCTATTCTTTAGTGAAATTATCTGTCATCAACATCTCATGTCACTGCATGGGTGAATGTTGTTCATACTCTGTGCTATTCTGCAACAGGCACAGAGGGGGTATTCAGCAGGTTCTGACCAGTTCTGGAGAACTGGTAGCAGAAATTTTGAGTAGTTTGGAGAATACCACCTCTGACTGCCCCCCACTCTATTCTGTGCCTCCCAAGTCCCAGCTGATCGGCTGGGTATTCTTTTGTTGGGAAGCAGGTTAGTGGGGTGGGGAGAGAATGGGGATTTTGCAGTATACTTGCCCTGCCACGCCCACCAAGCCACGCCCACCACATCACATCATGCCCACCAAGCCACGCCCACCGAACCGGTAGTAAAAATTTTTGAATCCCATCACTGAACAGGCAGCGCTGCTGTCAGATTATAGTTGGCTGGCCTTGTAACCCTGGTTATCAGGGAGATCATAATTGTTTTGATTTAATAACGACAATACAAATATACATGTGTTTATTCAGAAATAAGTCACAAAAACTGTTCTATAAAACTTACTTCCTAGCAAATATACTTAGGATGGCAATCTTGGAATTGTATGTAGCCCCCTTTTGTCTTGTGAAAACTTATTCATGTCTAGGCCTGTGTAGGTTTTATAAAAGTATTTGCATACTACAGGTAGTCCTTGATTTATGACCGAAGTTGAGCCCAACATTTTCATTGCTAAGAAACAGAGTTGTTAAGTGAGGTTTGCTCCATGTAATGACCTGTCTTGTCATAGTTCTTAAGTGAATCCATGAGGCTGTTAAGTTAGCAACATGGCTGTTAAATGAATCTGGCTTTGTCATTGACTTTGCATGTCAGAAGGTCACAAAAGGTGATCACGTGGCCAGTTGCCAAGTGTCTGAATTTTGATCATGTGACCACAAGGATGCTGCAATGGTCGTAAGTATGAAAAATGCTCATAAGTCAGTGCCGTTCTAACTTTGAAAGATCATTAAACGAATGGTTTAGTCAAGGATCACCTGCCTACATTTTGCTGAGCACTGAATCCTGCAGTGAATGTAAAGGGAAGGGCAGAACAGACTGAGCATGTTCTTCGATTCTGTTTTTTTTGCAAGAGATAGTCTATGGATATTATCAGTCATCCAGGTCAGGTTTGTCCCAAAGGTGCTTTTTCAGGAGGCAACTGGACCTTCTTGTTTTTTCCTTGAAGACACTTTGCTTCTCGTCGAAGACGCTTCTTCAGCTCTGATTGGATCCTTCCATTCTCCACCATCCAATCAGAGCAGAAGAAGCGTCTTCGATGAAAAGCAAACCCTCTTCAAAGAAAAAAACAAGAAAATCCAGTTGCCTCCTGGAAAAGCGCCTTTGGGACTTGCAAGGATATTTGAAAGAAAACATTTATCTAGAGTGTAACGCTTGGGAAAACATTGTGACTGCAAAGAAAGCAAAAGGTCACCTTCAGCAAATTGACTGCCCTGAGGTTTTAGGTTGAAGAAAACAGGAGAACAGGAGCAAGAAGCAAGAAAAACAGAAGCTATGGGAATGCCTGGGTGATGAAGGCTGTCTGAGTCTAAATGGCTGCAGTAAATGAGGAAGGCGCTTAAAATCCAGGGGAGCAGAAGCTGATTGGAAACATTTATTTATCATTAGGTTTTAATTCAATCCTTTCTAGAGAAGGTATTGCACACAGCACTCCCTTCTCTTCTTTTTCCCTCTCCCCTAAACAACAAACCTGAGAGAGAGGTTAGGCAGAGAGAAAGTGACTTTCAAAGTCATCCAATGAACCTCCACAGCTAAAAGGAATAGGAGTCTTGGTCTTTCCCTATCCTAATCCAACACGTTCACTATTGCTCCACTCTGGCTTTCAGGAAAGGATCGGTTGAATGGATTAGCAGTGCTGTCTAGGGAGTGCTGTGTGATATTCTAGGTCAGAGGTCTCCAAACTTGGCAATTTTAAGACTTGTGGACTTCAACTCCCAGAATTCTCCAGCCAGCATAGTTGGCTGGAGAATTCTGGGAGTTGAAGTCCACAAGTCTTAAAGTTGCCAAGTTTGGGGACCCCTGTTCTAGATGTTAGCAGAGAGGCTGCTGAGCTACTTCCCCCTGGTAGTGAATGTGAAACACAGAGAATGTTGTGATTCATTTCATGTTATACCATTAATTTGGCATAGCTATGATTGTTAGTAGCCAAAAGCCCCCAGATCTTGGACCAAAAGTCTGGAGCTACGGTGACATTCAGAAAATTTCGCTATCTTTTGATCCTTATTTCATTACCTGGTATTTTTCAAGAGGAGGGTTTCTGCATGCTGAGGTATTCCATAGAGATGTTGAAATCCATGCAAAGAAACATCTAAACCTACACTGCTAGGACCTGTATTAAGACAGAGTAGTACTGTGAGGTAGTGCAAACACAGGGCAGCATGAAAGAGCAACCCATTCAATACTAACCTCCACTGAGGCTCTTTGTGGCTTACTATAATATAGAGAAAAATTGTGCCAATGTTTCGTTGTGAGGACACAGAACGAGGATTAAGAAAAGAAACCTATTTTAAGGATTCAAGCAACCTAGTCCAAATCTACAAAGGCAGATTGTGCAGCCCCCAGCCAAAGGTTAAATATAAGCCATCTAAACTGCAGTATAAAACAGGCAATTGCAATAATTGATTCCTATGAGTGAGCCAAGCCATGTGGCCAGCTAGGACCTCCCCCCACCCAACAAAAACTGCATGACTGGTGTGAATACCTGTTTGTGCATGTGAGTATGAAGAAATGGCTGTGCCATCTGGTCTGGGGATCTGCTAGTACTGGAGCCTGAAAAAATATCAATGAGGTGGATCTCCTGTATTAAGTTTTTGTATGTTAATAGTCATTGTTATAGTTTTGGTTATTTCTGGGTTTCTTTGCTTTCAACTCTGGAAATTACCCAAAATCATGTACACTACATGAAATGTGAAGCTATATTAATTGAGCAAATAACACATCAAAATTAAGAGACCGCCCCCCCACAAAGCAATTAAATATATATTAGTATAACTGAGGGAAAGGATAACATTTTCAATTATTAGACAACAGGCAAACATTGACAACATGGCATGTTATCCTCAATATTCCAATATTCCAAGGAAGCAAGCAATGATCCACAATATTTTTATAATTACTTTTACAAAAATGGAAATGACCCAAACTTGCATGATATCCAAGTTTTCACATAAAAACTGATGAGATTTCGATCAAACTGATCAAATTCAGAGCTGAAAAAGAATGGTGGTCTCTGAGCCACTTACCATTAGCTTTGATGTCTAAAAATTTGCCAAACTTTTCTTCCCAGTGACCTAAATCTTCTTCAGTTTCCTTAGATAAAAGAAAAAGAGATGTAACTCTGTCATGGACTAGCCAACAGAACTTAGCAATCAGTTTCCAGTCTAGGTCTGAGTTACAGCTAATTCCAAGCAATATTCTACAATGAAATCACTGTACAATTCAGACCATGCCCTAGTTCATAACTGTCAGTAACTGCCTTATTTCCTTTCCAGATTCATATTATTATTGTTTAAATAATGTTAAAATCAAAACTTATTATTTCCACCACCTTTGGACAAACTGACCAGACAAAAATCCATATATCTACAGTAGATTAAATGTACCTTAAAAGGGTCTGCCAGTCCACTTTCCTTTTCTTGTGAAGTAGATTTCCTTTAAAAATCAAAAGTTTTCAGTGTACAATTACAAGCAGATCCTCACAAAAGAACTTATTTTAGAATAATAATGTTAATTATCCCAACCTACAATAATTGATCTGTACTTAGATAGATCAGCACAGATACTAATATTGCTTTCTGTAGGTTTCCCCCGTTTGTTCCTTTTCCTTTTTTCCCTCCTTTTCTTTTGTATATTGAAGTAATATCATACCTGCTTTGAGGTGGCGACTGCAGGTGTTCCAAATACAACAGGCCATTGGAATTCATGCTCAGTAAAATTTCATCCTTAGAAATAAGCTGTATTTGAAAAGGTTTTGCCATTATATGAATCTGCTGGTCTTGCTCAGCACCTATCAGCACAAATTTGTCTGCATCTTTCTCTGATATTTTCAGCCTTTGAAATAGAAAAAGAAAAAAGACCAGAGTAAAGAAAACATTTTTTTTGTTCAAATTACAAATAATAGCAAATCTGAAAACTGTTAAGTTCCACAAACGTCAATCAATTTTTTTATCTCAACACATTTATGAATGTGTTTCTCTCTCTCTCTCCCTCCCTCCCTCCCTCTCCTTCTCCCACTCTCTCATGCTGACTTTTTTTTTGTTAACATGCACTTCTGAAATAAATTCCTATATCTTTGGATATATGTGCCAGATAGTTTTGCTACATTCATTTAAAAAGAGAAAAAAGCATATTGCAACTGGGAATGGCTAAACATTCTAAAAAATAAAGCTATCAATTAAGCAGGAAGTGTAGATAGAAAATCATTTGGTTATGACAGAAAAACTGCTCTTGCATTGTTTTATCAGCTGAATAGGAAGACTGACCAAGATTATTCAGCGTACCCAGGGTTAAATGCTGTATTTAATAACAGAGCTGTTTCCTATATGATTAATAATGTGGGTATTTTGGTTAGTTTTCTAGTTGGTCCTCTTTTTGTTTCTGTATTTTTCTCTTTATATGTTAAAGCAAATAAAAATTATAAATTGTAATACAAGGAAAGAACAAAAGTTCCTCACTACGTACTAGTGCAGCAGTCGCCAACCGGTGGGCCGTGGCCCACTGGTGGGCCGTGAGAAAATCTTGGTGGGCCGCAGAGAAATTTCACCCCCAGAGCACCCCCACAAAGCAATTAATCCAGGCTGCGCAGAAACACAAGGCTGCGCTGCCCACATGGCCCGCGAAAACCCTCCCCACCCACTCATTCCTTACCAGGTAAACTTGCCTGCTAAATTGCTATTTTTCCTTTTTCCGACCATCATCTGTTTTGCTGTGCTGGGAGATTTAGATTAGCTAGGAAGCAAGAAATGGTTGGATTTCTTGCTTTCTAGCCAGTCTTTAGATCTTCGGCTCAACACAGTTAAAACTCCCTTAGGACTGAAGGTTCGCTTGCAAGCAAATTCAGTGCAGACTCACGGCAAGCAAATTTGAGAGACTGAGTTAGCCGATGGCAGATAGATAGATCACTGAATGATTCTGTGAGCAACTCAATCTGCCTGCTTTGCCTGATTTTGGGTAAAAGTTGCTCTTTTTTATAAAAAATTCAATATTTACATGCATGGTGTGTTGTGAATTAATTTTGTGAGTTTGCTTGCAAGCAAATTTGATGTGACAGACTGAGTTAGCTAATGGCAGATAGATAGATCTCTGAATGAATCTGTGATTCTGTGAGCAACTCAATCTTCCTGCTTTGCCTGATTTTGGGTAAAAGTTGCTCTTTTTTTATAAAAAAATGCAATATTTATATAAATATTTATAATATTTACATACAAGCCATGCCCAGCCAGCCATACCCACAAATTAGGCCACGCTCACAGAACCGGTTAGTGGTCCCTGGGATCTAAAATTATGAGTTTGGTGGTCCCTGAGGTCTAAAAGGTTGGCGACCCCTGTACTAGTGGATGAGATCATTTTTGCAATACTATAAATAAATAATTAAATAAAGTATGCCAGATTCTGCTTGCCTGTGGGTCCTTCCAAAGATTATTATAAGATCACAGGAAGTGAATTTCATTTTATTTAAAGCAATTTAAATGACAGTGGTGCTAAATAGGACAAAAAAAATACCGGTACTAAAATGCTAATGTGAAAAAAACTCTTGTACTATATGTGAAGAACAGAGATGTATCCTACAAAATCCTACTAGCTATGTGCACTATTCAATAATAAACAATATTTATTTGAATGATGAAGACCCAGTATGAGGTCCACATTTAGCCAATATGAAGTAAAATACCTGACACAATATTCCTTCAAAGAATTCTCCTGATATTTCTTTTCTAAATTGGAGAGCTAAAATTCAACTTATATAAATGCCCCAGTGGCAAAAAGAGGACTTGTTTCCAATCTATATCTGATCTAAGCTATCACTTCCCATAACTTACCTCAAGCTAGCTGGTTCCTTTATGAGAACATCAGGGACTTCGTATCTTGGCTTGAGTGGATTTACCTCATTAATTTTAAGCCTGAAAATATTGCCCTCTATTTCATACACTTCTACTGAAAGAGTTACCTAGTAATTGAATAAACACAGGAGAATACTAAAATGCTATATTAGACAAAACACCAATTTCTCACAAAACATCAATTTTCTTCTTATTCTTTTATTATTTATTCAAAATAATAAAAAGACACTTTCAACATACTGTAAATTCTCTACTGAAAAGAATCTTATTTGTGTTTGCTACCAAACAGATTAGAAGCAAATCAGTAATAATGAAATACAGTAGCTAATGGCATTCTAAACTGCTTTCAGCAAGAAAGTTCACACTGAAAACTTTGCTTTTCGACTATCTTAAATGGAAATAGCTATGTCATTCATTATTCTAAGTATTTAATATTATGATCCTCTACATATTCAAACAGGAGCATGACTGAATTCAGTTGATCAACTATATGAATAGATATTATTGAATTGCATTGCATTTTTTGTCTGCCTGCCTGCCTGCCTGCCTGCCTACCTACCTACCTACCTATCTATTTTTATGTCACCCTCTCCCTTATAAACTAATTATGGGTAGCTTACAAGTTTTAAAATAAGTAAAAAAATAATTAAAATATTGAAACATTTTAGACTCTAGTTTCCCATAGTAACCCATGGTAATATTCACCTTGCAATTAATCAGGGCAAAGGACGATCTGCTGAAGGCACCATTCATGGTTTTAGTAGACTTAAGAAACAACTCTTGAAATCCCTGACCTTTTCTAACTTCAGAGCTAAGTACTGATTTGATTTGTATGCTTTGTTCAACCATATTGAACAAATTAATATTTGGGTTTCCTAACATAACCCATAAATTTTGACTTACAGACATAATATATAGGTTTCCACAACTTTCTAAGCCCATAAATAAATTGTTGTCTGGCTTAACACAAACGTGGATCCAACCATAGTGTTTGCTTTAGGCATGATGAGAAATCATGACTTTCAAAAAGATGGTGCGCACACCAGCATAGACGGGGCCTTCTTTCACATGCTGGGCTTCTTTTATGAAAGAAGGACCAAGGCAGGGCATGAAAGAAGGCCCTGGCTAGAGGCCCTGGATGGGGAGCAAGTGGAATCTTGTTTACATTGGCGTGAAAGAAAGCAACATGAAAGAGACCCTGGTCAGTACAGAATTAGGGTGCAATGGAGTGGGCAAGGTGTTGTGGCAGTTGGCTGTAATAGATAGGTCGGTGGCCAAAAGGCATTCGTAATTCCAGGTGGGCCTAAGTGGTGTCTGAATTTTGAGGGCTCTGACTGAAACTTTGAGGACCACCTCCTTTATTCAACACCATTGTAACTTTGAAAGGTCGCTGAATAAGTTCATGTGGACTACCTATAAGTTTACCTAGCTTCATGGCAGAAACATTTGAAAGAGTGAAAATAAATTGGTTGACAAATAAAATAATTTATATTACGTTAATTATGGAAGGAGAAGCTTTTGAAAAATTACATAATTTTTGTCATGCCCCACACCTTTGTCATGCAAAGTTCTCAAAGCTAAATAAATGCTAGCTAAAATTATTTAAATACTTCCCAACATCATGTAACATACTATCTAACCACTGGTGGAATTCTACTGGTTCGGCCCAGTTCGAGTGAACCAGTAGTAAAAAATGCTACTGTTCAGCTGAACCGGTAGTAAGAAAACAGCTATTTCTTCCCCCCAAAGATCAGCTGTTCCAACATCAACTGTGCTGGCACCCCCCTCGCTGTCTTACTGCTTCGCCCAGGAGGCTTTCCTGAGGCCCAGGAGGCAAAAAAACAAAAGGAGCGGGGGGGAGGGGCTTGCTGAACAAAAAAAGAAGCCACGCCCATCCAGTCACATGGCCATGCCCACCTAGCCACGCCCACAGAACAGTAGTAAAAATATCTGCATCCCACCCTTGTATCTAACATCCAGCAGATCAAAAAGATAGACTGATTTTACATGCAAACTGGGCATCCATGTTTTTGATCAAACACTGAGAGGCACTCTTACCTTGCTATCTTCATTGAAAATTTGGAATTTGACATTACTGTTGGATAGTTCCACAGTTTGCAGTAAGGCTTGGTATGGGGACTTCCCAGGACATAAACATTTCTGACGCCTGATGTATCCAAAAAAGAATATAAAATTTTATATTACCCATGTTATAGATGAGAATGCGATCATATTCAAAGAGTTGATTAAATTTAGACCAACTGGTCTAAATTACATAATTTCAAATCAATATTAAAAAAGGCATGTTTTGTTATAGTTTCATCTTATTTTTATTTGTGATAGGTGGCCATCCAAATTGAATAAAAAAAATTATGGAATATAGAGTTCTGATTATTCGACAAATAATAAAACAGCACCGGATAAAGTGCAGGGGAGGGCAACTGAAATCTGATTATTGACTAGAAGCATCAGTTATGATATCTGGCACTCTGATTGGAAAGAAAGCACACCTGGGGTTTTAAAGTCATTCATGGCATGGAGAAAGTGGACAGAAGTATTTTGTCCTTTCTCAAAATGCTAGGAAGAGGAACCATCCAATGAAGATGATTGGAAGGAGATTTAAAAAGAATAAAAGAAAGAATTTCTTTTATTCTTTTATTCACGGCATGCTCAGACTTTTCTACCAAAAGCTTTCTCAGTGTGAAGGCTGGAAAAAAATTTTTTTCCTCCTCTCACCCCTTTCTAATCTATATGTTTGAAAAATACTTTTATGTTATTATTTTATATTGGTTTGAGAATTGCTTTATTGTATATTTCATAGTTGTTTTGATTAAAACCTGTCTTGGGAGGCTTTGGCATTTGAGGAAATACAGGGATATTAATGAAGCAAATTAGAGCTAAAAGATCTTGGCCCCCAAAAAACTGGACCACCACTAAACAACAGCAAAAATTAAGGGTTTTTTTGTATCTGCATTGTAAATCATCCAGAATCACATTGGTAAAATGGGCAGTGTAAAAATTTAATGAATAAATACATGATATTCTTTGCTGCCATGTAGAGATTATATGGATTTTTTTGCAGCACAGATGTAGTAGCCCTTATAAAGTTCCCCTCAATGCAAACTTCGCACTATAAGATATATTGCTGCAATCGCTCTTCAGTGACAGTTGTGCCATACCTTGTCATGTTATATGAATACAATATTTTCAGATAACAAAATATTCATAATCTTTACCTGTAAAAGGCAATTTGCTTGCATGTCTTAAAACATCTTTTATCCACAGCCTCATCTTGAACACTAAATACAAGAAAATATAACATTTTTAAAATGTATAGTAAAGAAACAAAGATTATTTTCCCTGCAGCTATACACAACAGAACAAGCTTATTCTAATGCATATAATTGAAAGTTCTGAAATAATTGCCTGTATTAATTGCATACTGGTCACACTAAGCAGCTACATTAGAAATGGATTCTACATTACACATAATATTTGAAAGAATGAATTACTTTCAGTTTATCAATATTATTCCAAAACAAGTGAAATCTTTATTTCCAGTTGACCGAGAAAACTTAAGTCAATTAAACGAAGACATTCTTATGGTTTCCATTTTAAATTTTCAAAAGGATTACCTTCTTTAAGCAGATATTGGCTACTTATTCCAATTCCCAAGTATCCAAACCTGCAAAAGTCAGCTCAACCAGTAAAGTAAACACTTGTCCAAGGATGGTATAATGCTCCTTATAAAATTAAGCAATGAAGTAATTCACTTCATGTTTTTAATAACATTGTGTTTTTAATACCTTTTTTTGTTTTTTATTTTATGCTGCCCAGGATCAATGTTGGTTATATAAACATGGTTGATAAACAAACAAACATCATATATCTTCACAATGAGGTCAAACAGTATAAACAGCCAAACAAAACAAAAATAAAACTGTTGTAGGGCAGTAAAATATATGTTTTCTCACTGTAAGTAACACTAATTCTACTATAAATAAATCAAGAGGTGCTGATTTCATTATATACACACATAGAAAATATTCTGGCACTGCTACCAAGCATAAGATTGATTGAAATAGAGAAATGTGAATAAATAATTAACTTCTGCACCCTAAACAGCTTTGGACCACTTCAACTCATACATCTGCACAACACTTCATGTCAAATGACTGCATGCAGCCCGTTTCAAAAATATTTGTATTCACATGACTGCAGTAATCAGGTTGCAACAAGGCTATTGTATTGAAAAAAGGTTAAACAATAATTAGGTTTATATTTTAAACTTTCATTTGTCAATTAAGTTTCACTTTCTAATTCACTTTCTGCTTTTCCAAGTGTCATGTGACTGATTTTGTATTTCTGGAACTCCTTCACTTTTACTCGCTAGTATAATTATATTATTTATTACATAATATTAATAAATGTATTATTCCATCTATGTTTTTATTCCCAGCTCTCTAAGTATGTAGTTTTAATTTCTGCATGAATTCAAACTAGCATTTCAGAATTAAAAATTATTTGGATTCTTTTAGAAGCATGTCTTGTACTTAAGTAAGATTTGCAAATCAATTATTGCCAAATCATATATATCTACCTGATTTCTTGACTGCCTGATTCCATGATCCGGAGAGAGCTGTTTTTGAACCATTCATTAAGGAAACGAAGGGGAAATTCTCTAGCCAATAAGTTTTCATTTCAGAGTCCCTTGTTGCATGCTGGGAAATTGAGTTTTTATTTCTGACAGTCCTACCCCTTGACCAATAACGTGGAAGAGACGTCAGTATGCATATGCTTTGCTGGCAGTATTTCTGTAGTGCTCAGAGAGCTGCATTCAGAATAGAAATGAAGAAGTACTACTTCCTATTACTGTTTTCTTCTTAAATCGGTTTAATTATACAGGGATAAAGTAAGTTTTGCTTGTGAAGTTATGCCAATTCCTAGTTCCAAAATATGAATAAAAACTAAGATCTACTTAATATTTTGTTCAAAAATATCTTTTTTATCTCCTTGTTTTATTCTATTGTGCCATTCTGCCTCCCCTTTCTGACAAATATCCAAGTAATTTCTCTCTATCCCTTCTGGAACTTTTAAGAAACCATCTGCTATCAACATTTTAGAAAGGCAATTTTACTGTGTTATCTAAATGCAAAGGCATCCATTATGCTCTAAGTAAGACGTGGATGGTTTCAAACTGAGGGCTGTTTTAAATCTACCATAAAAATACTGAATGGAATTAGAAGACACCATATATGGGAGTCTTTGTGGTTAAATTGGGAGAAGATTAAAAGACAATGTTATTTGAAAATTCCAGTCTGGTTATCGACTATAGAAGCATTTTCTTATCCTATAATATATAAGAAGGAACAAACAGTTAGATATGGGGAAATATTGAATGAAAAGGGTGAACTCAAATCTATATAAAAACTAGAGGAACAAGGTATAAAGATGAATTGGTTTTCATATGTGCAAATACATTCAAGGTATGATAAAGATCTCAAAACAGAAGGATTCTATGACAATAATGAAATACGTAGAATCTTAGAAAATAATAAATATATAAAGATGTTTTTTTTTTCTTTTTTATTATATCTATAAAAAATTTTTAGGATAGACTTGGGAAGATTATATGAATTGTTACAAAATGATACCAAGTAAATTATAGTTATCTCGCAAAATATGAATGAATAAAATTATTGTCAAATGATTGAATAATAATGATACTAGGGTATTTAATTTCTGATTGAGAATATGAGTTATTATACAATGTAACTGTAATTGTTGATTATGAAATGGATGCACAAAAAACCGACACACTGCTTGTATACTCGTGGAAGAAAGGTTGATGTTTTTATGTTTTGTCTGTTTATGTTTGTTTTTAAAAAACCAATAAAAATTAAAAAAAATACTGAATGGAATTAATTACCCAGCTGTGTCACCATTTGTAAAAGTCAGTACAATGCTGTTTGTTGTATAGACAGCGCTTGGATTTGTTAACCATTTGATTACAATTCTTATTCACCTTTAGACTGAGTGGGTGCAACTTACCCATTCCCCAAATAAACAAGCAGAGGAGTCACGTTGTGCTTCAAGACTTGGTAGGATTAAATCCCTATCCAAGCCTGCACACCTTCCAGGCACTGGGAGAAGATCTTGACAGTCTCACTTTTAAGCCTGGTGTTCCAAGATTAAGTGGACTAGTAGATGACCTTACCTGGGAGTTCCATGTAGATATTAAGCAGGAAGGGAGAGTGTGTTGAGTCCTGTGACATTCCACAAAGCAGCATTGTAGAGAGTGAATTCTCCTCCTACCAACATCAATTGGAACTACCCCCCCCCCCCCAAAGAAAGTAGAGAATCACTATGAAACAGTGCCCGAGAGTCAGTCCAGAGGGATACCATAGCCAACAATATCAAAAACCTCTGAGAGATCAAGGAGTGGAAGGATGGATGAACCACTTTGATCCCAGCTCTACCAATTGTCAACAAGTGTGATCAAGACTCTCTCCACATTTGAATCCCAGCCTAAAACTTGACTGAAACAAAGTGAACTAAAACAGTGGTTCTTAAACTGACTCAATTACCTCTTTTCTTGATCTTTAATATCATTATCCCCACAAAACAAATAAATGAACAACATCCCAGACTGTTTTATACAGATGACTCAGCAGCAGCAGTCCAACAAACTTGATTAGGGATTAGCCACCCCAAGAAACCAGCCCTTTGCACATTGCAAAGTTTGTCAGCTGAATGCCTCCATTAGGAAATGTGGGTTCGAAATTTCTCTGTAGAATTAGCACAGAGTGAGTATTAAACTTAATTCTGGCTCCAGATCAAAGCTATGTTGTAGAATAGTCTATTATAAATAATTTTCCTTGATATCTTGTGACTTCATGGATACACCCAAATACAAATAGTCTTTGACTTCGAATTTCTCTGTAGAATTAGCACAGAGTGAGTATTTTTAAAGAGTGGATAGAACAGCTATTTTGCACGGAATTAAACTTAATTCTGGCTCCAGATCAAAGCTATCTTGTGGACTAGTCTCTTATAAATACTTTTCCTTTGGATTCTGCCTGATGTCTTGTGACTTCATGGATACACCCAAATACGAATAGTCTTTGACTTACAACAGTTTGTTTAGTAACTGTTTGAAGTTATGATTACACTGAAAAACTGACTTATGGCTGTTTTTCACACTTACGACTATTGCAGCACTTCCATGGTCACATGATCAAAATTCAGATGCTTGGCAACTGACTCAAACTTATGACGGTTGCAGTGTCCCAGGGTCATGTGATTACCTTTTGTGACCTTCTTTCAAGCAAAGTCAATGCGGAAGCCAGATTCACTTAACAACCGTGTTACTAATTTTACAACTGCAGTGATTCACTTAACAACGGTGGCAAGAAAGTTTGTAAAATGGGACAAAACTCGCATAACAAATGTCTCACTTAGCAATATACATTTTAGGTTGAATTGTGGTCGGAAGTTGAGGACTCGCTGTATGCGCTTTAATTTTCAACAACAGATACGGTAAGCAAAACTGTGGATAATGACACAACAAAATATTGAGCATCACCTCTTTCTCTTAACGTATTGCTGTTGTGTACACCATGTTTTGTTTTTCCTAACAACAATGCTTCAGTGGTAGCCATCCCCTTTTTCTGGGATATTTTCCATGTACCACTCTAGCTCATAAATATTAAATATTTTATTTTTTTATTTATTTTATTTGGTTTGTCAATTGCTTACAAGATAATAGGTATAAGTAAAAATATAGTTATGAATACATGCATACATATAAGAAAAATAAAAGAAACAATAGGACAGGGACTACTTATGCACACCCCCTACAGATCTCTTAGGATAGGGATGAGGTCAATAATAGACAGTCTAAGGTTAAAGTTTTTGGGGTTTGGGGAAGAAACCACAGAGTCAGGTAGAGTATTCCAGACATTGACCACTCTGTTGCTGAAGTCGTATTTCCTGCAATCAAGTTTGGTGCGGTTAACCGTGAGTTTGTATCTATTGTTTGCTCTTGTATTGTTATGGTTGAAGCTGAAGTATTCATTGACTGGTAGGACATTGCAATGTATGATTTTATATACTATACTTAGATCGGACCGAAGGTGGCGTAGTTCTAGGTTTTCTAGGTCTAGAATTTCAAGTCTGGTGGCTTAAGGTATTCTGCAACGAGTAGAGGAGTGGGGAACTCTTTTTGTGAAATATTTCTGGACCTTCTCAATTGTGTTAATATCAGATACATGATGTGGGTTCCAGACTGATGAGCTTTATTCGAGTATCGGTCTAGCAAATGTTTTGTATGCTCTAGTTAGTAGTGTAATATTACCAGAGAAAGAGGTACGTAAGATTAGGTTAACAACTCTTAATGCCCTTTTGGCTATGTAGTTACAGTGGGCTCTAGCACTTAAATCATTATAGATGAGTACTCCAAGATCCTTGACAGAGTTTGGATCATCAACAAGGTCTTGACTATTCTGATTTTTTTGCCAATATGTAAGACAGAGCATTTATTTGTTGAGATTTGAAGTTGCCATTTGTTTGACCATTCTGATACATAGTTGAGGTCTTTTTGAAGGGTAGCAGTATTGTCTGTGGGTGTTGAATAGCTTTACATCGTCAGCGAAGAGAACGCAATTGCTCTTAATATGATCACAGAGGTCATTTATGTAGAGTATGAAGAGAGTTGGTCCTAGAACACTACCTTGGGGGACACCACTGTTGACAGGTACAGAATTTGATAGGACACTCCCAATTTTGACCATTTGTTGTCTGTTTGACAGGAACACTTCTATCCAGTTATGCAGGTGTTCAGAGATACCGTAAGATTTTAATTTTAGTAGTTTGTCTTGTACCACTGATTCAAAGGCTTTACAGAAGTCTATGTGGATTGCGTCTATTGCTTTGCCCTGATCTTGTTGTGTAGTCCATATGTTTTTGCAGTGTAAGAGTTGCAGATTACAGGATAGTTTTTTTCTGAAACCAAATTGTTTATTAGAGAGTAAGTTGTTTGTCTCTTAAGTGGAGGATGATGGATTGGTTAATAATTGATGCCATGACTTTACAGGTGACGCAGCATAAAGAGCTATTTTGCAACGTTCTCCTTTCCAAATACTAACCAGGTCCAATTCTGCTTAGCTTTTGGAAAATAAAAAGTGGTGGCAAGAGGCCTTCAGTCTCTACATAAGAACATGGCTTTCTTTTCTTCACGGTACAGATGACGCTCACGTGAAAAACAAAGTGCTTAGAGGATCCGAACGTGCTCTCAAACGAGCCACTGTAGAGAGATTCTGCTTGTTTATGGAACAAATAGTAAGGATGGAAAGCCAGCATTTCCCAGTACTCCGCGGCGAGCAAATCGAACACGGAACATAATACAGGTAATCCACGCTCGTCCTCTGCAGAACTTGCTCCCCGACCCAACCGCGCGGAGAGAAGAAGCGTCTCGCCCGCCACCGCCACTCTCGCGAAAGCCCCGTTGGCTCTGCGGAAGAGCCGCGCTCCCCGCCCATTTCGCCTGGGTGCTGGAGCCAATCCGGCAGCGCCCCATCACCCGCCCTCAGTTCGGCGCCTCGGCGATTGGAGCTGAAGGGGTGGCGAGCGCTCGGGAGCGGCTTCTTTTCCTTGTCGATTTCGCT